AATTTTCCAAAGTCCTGGTTTAAAAAACAAAACTAATTTCCGGTCAATAACCGAAAAAAAAACCGAAGTTCAACCGAACAAAAAAGGTAAAAACCTCCCAACCCTTGGAAAACCCAAAAGGGCAAATTTCAAATAAAAGAAAAAACAACTTTTTTCTTCTTTCAATCCTAGCAGCTGCAAAATTGCAGCAAAGTGCCAGGGGAACAAGGAACAATAAGCTCACCAGGACAGCAGTAATTGGAAGAAGGAAGATTTGAATGGTAGCACAGCTTCTGTTTTTCATTGTTGTGTAAATTTGAGATCCTGTTTCTCTTTCTTCTTTCTTCTACCTTATTATTCTAGTTGCTCCGTTCTTTGCTAGTTAACTACCCCTCCAGTTTTCATACGATTTTCACCATTCAAACTCTGCTAATGGTTGGTATATCTTTTGGTGCTCATAACTTTTATGCTTTTTGAAATATGAAGGTTTTTAATGCCATTTTTTGGCCCATTTTGATGAATGGAACCACATTACAAGTTTGTTTGGTGATTTAGCTCACAAGGGTGAGCTGTGTTTCAGCTCAGTGAGATGAGCAGCTGTTTTGTGACTCGGAGGACTGGGTTTGAATGTCAGCCATGGCTAAAAAAAATTTAAGCAAAATTTCTTTTAAGTTCAACTTTTTCACCTCTTTTTAGCACAAATTTCAGCTTCTTCACCCCTTTTCAGCAGAATTTTCAGTTGCTTCGCCCCTTTTCAGCAAATACTTCAGCTTCTTCACCTCTTTTCAGCAGAAAGTTCTGTTTTTTAACTCTTTTCAGCACAAATTCCGCTTCTTCACCTCTTTTCAGCAGAAAGTTCCGCTTTTTTTACCTGTTTTCAGCACAAATTCCGCTTCTTCACCTCTTTTCAGCAGAAAGTTCAGCTTCTTCAGCTGTTTTCAGCAAATTCCACTACACAGCATTCACACTGCATTTTTGCAGGAAATGCAACTTTTTCTAGTTAAGATTTTTTCACAAGGTAAATATTGTTGCTAGACAATCTATTTCTATCTTCTTCCTTTACATGGATGATCATTAGTTAGCGGCTTTGTTTTGCTTTTCATTAACATCATTTTTGGAAGGAAGTTGGCTCCAAATAAAGATAATTCAGAGAGAAATACATTTCAAAATGTGATTTTGCGCATGTGGGTTCGGAGATATGGTATCAGAATGTACACTGATACAAGCTGTTTATTCACATCTAACCCGGTTTGCACATTTAGAAATCGCTAAAGCAAAATGGCTGGTTTTACAGAACACAGGCCTCAGGTTTAATTGCTCTGCAAGCTCACATGGCTCCTCAACCATGACTTTGGGCCCAAGTGAACACACACCCTAGGCTGACATAAGACCATGATCTGCCAAGGCTTACATAAAAGACCCACACCCTTCAGCAGATGACGTGACTCAAACTTCATCATCACAACTTGAGACTAAAAGAATGCTGGTCAATAGCCGAGGGCCACGAGTGGCAATATTCTGGCCATGTTTACATTGGCAAAGTTGTTGTCTGAGAAACAAAGCTTCAAAAATGTGTGTGCAGAGACATATCAGGGCTTAGTTTCACTGAAGTCTGCTCTTTCACTTTAAAACATTAAGTCTTGACCCTCTCATCTTTTACTTGTTCTTGTTCAGAATGAATTAGTCTCATATTTTTACAGATCATCACAAAGTACTAACAGCTTTTTACTTCTACACATGTGCAAAAATGCACACAAGTAACTTAATAAGAAACTGGAATATTCCAACCATGAATGAAACTTTTTTCACTATGATATGTAGCAGCAATTGTTCTATCCTATTCCGCTCCGCCTGAGGCCCTGACTTAGCAACAGAAACAGTCATTGTAGATGACAAGCTGAAGTAAGTGAGACAAGATGTTTTTCCCCTTCTCCAGAGCAGATTTAAAGCTTGGGTTTTCCCCTGAAATCTTGAGAGAGAGAGAGGGAGAGAGACCGCTTATAACATACTCCAAAAGGCAATGAATGACATCATCTAAAATTTTAGTCCATGGCCATTTCAGCGCTGCATATTTGCACGCCTGCATAGATACTGAATTACAGCCATGGGAAGTGAGTGTATAAACTCAATCTGTTTGCAGTCAGGGTGAGAGACCTGTTTATATGTGACGTGGATGTTTGCTCGGATAAACCAAGTGAATAATTCTGGGGTTAAAAGTGAAGGAAATTTGGTTCCAAAAAACCAGTTCTTTGAATGGCCACTTGAGACTGATTCTGCAAGTCAGTGCCCAAGACGCCCATGTTAATGTCCCAGCAGTAGAAATAAACATGTTTACACCCTGATACAAAAAAAAATCAGTCTTTATCTCAATAGCAAATCTCCACCTTATGAAAACTGTGCAGAGAGGACACTTTTTTAAATAGTTCTTTGCACGTTTGCAGCAACATGACATTACTGCTAAGCCAAAACTTTTTGTTAAACATCCTCTGTAATATGCTGCTGACATGCCACAGGCACATGAAAAACACTCTGACCAGTTGAGGGACTCTATCTCTCAGGGTGCCTTGTTGTATATAACATCTGGCGTGTCCTTTATTAGCCTTCGTTTCAGTAGCTACTCATCACTCCTGACTGAAAGCACCCCATTGGCATTTTGGAAATGCTCCAACCAAAGGCCGTTTCAAGTCGTTTGGTTATAGTCGTTATGCAGTTTTGTCTTCATAAAAAGTCTTTACAGCTGTCCATTCCTCCCACATACAACAAGCTGAAAGTGAGAACCAACACATTTACCATCTAATACTCTGAGACTTTGAGATAAACTATTATTACAACATAGCACCGGTCACAATGCCAACATACCAAATTGCGAAAGGTTTTGTATGATGTGGGACTTTCCAAG